ACAGCCCTTTGCCATTTTCATCAGCCCTTAACTAAAGCTTCCCCTTCCCAAACACCATTCCCTCCTGCACCCTGGGTGTGCATCTCCTCACTCTACTCACCAGCTCCATTCCCCGACTTCCCCAGCTGCAGCGGGTTAAAAAGGAAGTGTAAGATTTTGTCTGCAATTGATTTTAATTCTTTCCCTCATGCTGCCCCTGCAGGCACTAGTTCGCCAGCCCAGCTGTGGCACTGAGCTCAATCAGTTCTCCCTCACGCACAGCCTTCCCTCAACAAGCTGTGACTGATCAGAGAGGGACAACTGCACATGTACATTCATATTCATTTCTTCGCACGCTCTGGAGTTTTCTTACAGTATGATGCCTATCAGAAGAAAACATCTGCTTTGTTTGTTTTTTAAGGTAATCATTTCCTCTGCAGCCCTGGAAATGCAAACACCGCAGCGCTCAGCCCACTGCAGGAGCACCAGAGAGGGGCTCTGAACTGAAAGTGAAACGGATGAGAGCAGCTGAAGTGTTCAAGCAAAATGAAAATACAAAAAGCTTAAGAAAACAAAACAAAAAAAAATCAATCTTAGTGGGGGAGCTAATGGGTTTTTGAACATTTCTGTTGTTCTAAGGCCCTAATGTGTTGTTTTAAGGAGCTGAATGGGAGGAAGAAATGTGAAATTTTTCTTCCCACCACCAACTGTCCAGAAGAGTCATGGTGATATATTATGAATTTGGCTAGGGCAGGTGTCTCAGCTTTCTTCTCTCCCAATGAATAACATTCCCCAAGTCCTCTCATGTACCAGGTCACCTAACTCACCTGCCAAAGTGCCAGACCACACCTGGTAAAACATCTAGCGTGGCTTTCGGCCTGCTAGATCAGTCCCAGTCACTCTGTATTTACTATTGGAGCCTCTTATTTCGTGACCCCTGTCCCATGCCAAATGTTCTGACTTGAAGATCCTTTCCTCTAGTAGCTACATGCAAGACCCAGCATCAGGAAGCAGGCTACAAGTTATGTGCCATATCTCAAAGAAGTGAGATATAGGAAACACAACGAAAAAGTCAGTGATATGTATCATACCTGATGCATGAGATTTTACAGTGCTATTTGAAACAGTAACAGCTAGGTCTTCTCCACATAAGGTTTTCAGTGAGAGTACAACTGTACCAAGACCAGAAAAATGTAAGCCATAGGATAAACACACCTGTCATTTTGCAATAAAAAAAAATAAGTCTTGATTACATGAGCATCATGAATGACAGAAGGAAATGGAGGCTAATACAAGGTGAGAAGTGCATTAATGAACTTCTCTGTCCTGGAGAGAGTGTAAGTGCAGAGCCCTGGAGGACTTGTCAGGCAGGGACTAACCTGCAAGACAGCAAGAACCAGGAAAGGTGCTCAGGAAACAGGTCCTGTGGTCCTCTGAGAAGCCATGACTATGAGGAATGAACATCAGGACAAAACCTGCACAATAAAACCATGTGAGAGCAGCTGAAGGATGCCATTAAAAAGCTAGGCATGGATACATGGATGTCCAGAACCCCCTACATATTCTGAAAGCTGAGGCACGGAGAAAAAGAAAGACAAGTCCCTGGTGATCCTGAAAAGAGGAGGCCAGAAAAGTGAGTGAAATAACACAGAACTTGCTTTTTTACAAATTGGACCTGTGCAGGCGTGCTGAACCTGCTTTGTAGAAAATGTAATCTATGCAACCGAAGGGGGTAGTGCTCTAACAAAAGCCCACATTCTGCAGGAACTGATGATGCTACCAGAAAATGCTGGTATGACAATACACTATGTTCCAGGCCAGTCCAAGATTTGGTCTTTTGGAAGCAAATCAAGGATGTGGTTTTAGTATGGCTCTTATATTGACATCACATCTAGCTTTACAAGTTGCTAAATGTTCTTATGTATCATTGAAATAAGGAGAGATCATAGGAGTTCATGGTGCTCAGCATGTGACACAATGGAGCGTATACATTCTTTCAGTGCAAACGGTGATGTCTCCAAATAATAAATACGAACAAGTAAATAATTTTGCTACTTCACCTGTTGATCTTGTCTTATAAAGGGGGATCTCATGGAGGGATCCTGCTGGACACTCACAGACTACCATTATTAACATGATGTACCTTATTCAGCAATTTGTCCAAAGACTCTCAAGAACCTTAAGAGCTTTAAAAAAGGAAACAGACTTTAAGCCTTGTTATGTAGCAACTGTAATCATCTTGTTTTATTCCTTAGATCTTACTATTTGAGAGAGAAAAAATAGGAGACACTTTGGGGGAGGGACAGCAGAAATAACAATTTGCAAATCTTGCTGAAATGTATTTAAATCACAAATGGTGACATTTTACTGAAACTACACTTTTCCAGTAAAGGGAATGCAGAAGAAAGGAGGGCTGACCCTTCCTGTCTTGGATGATAAATATTAAATCTACTTGAACTCTAGGAATTTACATAAGTTGAAGCAACAAACAGAAAAGGGCTGGCTGAACCTAAAAGAACTGGAACATTTCTCAGTGCTCTGGGAGCCCTTTCTCATTTCAGTGTGGCTCAGCGTCCTTGGCTATATTTTCTAGCTTTCAGAGGATGAAATACTGAAGCTATTCAGCATTTTGCTACAGTTGCAGACGAACATGGGAGGGAAGCAAGTGAAATTACAAGAGCAGAGATGCCTTCTGTTATTATGCTTAAGTCCTACTGTCATTCACTCCGATTTCAAAGAGCAGCATTTGTAGCTAAAAGGAAAACTCACTCCAGCACTTAAAACCAATCAGAAATAAAGAGAAAAACATTTTGGAGGAAATACACAATCTTTATCAGAGGAGCAATTGCCAGTCTTAACTGCAAACAGGGAAGACTGATAGGTGACCCCTCAAATAAATGGCCATAAACCTTTCATCTGCTGGGAACAGTAATGACTGCCTGAATATGAATTAACTCTATTGCATGAAACTGAATTTCATGTTTACCACTGCCTAAGAATGAAAAGAGAATGCGTCCTTACTGTGTTTATGAAGAAACTTCTCTAGCTATGAAGAACCACACAGCAAGATTAGAATCATTAAAGCAAAGGACCCAGTGAGATGTGGAGCAGTTGTCATTCCCACAGCAGTAATTTACCATGGGGCACTTAAGAGGGTCAGCGTGTCCCTCAGGACTGGTCTCTGAATTAGGACTCATAACACCCTGACATCTGCTGAATGTCTCCCAGACAATTGGAGCATGGGCATATATATATGCTAAGGTAGCTGGTAGGGAAGTATCAGCTTGGTATTCCTCAGCTGTGGACTGGAAGGACTGGAATAGCAGTCAGTGGCTGTCAGGGTGAAGGAGTAAGTGGTTACCCCATCACTATCTAAACTCTTCATTATCATTGTACGTCCACAGTGTGCCATACAGCTCCTGCCTGCTACGAACACCAATCTTATTTATGACACATCATACAGCCCCTGCAGTAAGTGAGGTACTCTGGCCCTCAGTGTTTCATGAAAAACTGCCTTGCACTGCATTAGCATGCAAAATGAATAAGGCAGAAGCCCAGCTCCAGCACCTCCCCAAAATAATATGCAACAATCTAATTAAACTTTATTGTAACTATACAAGCGAGGAAACAGAAAAAAGGCTGGGTAGGCGAGCTCAGTTTTGTCATTTCCTTAGCCTTTAAGTGTTTGCAATTTGATAGTCTTGTCATGTAGGGCTTTTAATGGAATTTCGTGCATTTTTAGAAAATAAATTAAATGATGAACTTCTACATGGTTCAGCTTCTGCTAGGCCAACACACTAAACCAAGGCAAAAACTTGTGCAACCAATCAGGCAAATTCACTGCTTCCTTCCACAATGGCTCTTCTATTGTAACTGTCTAGTGGAGGAGCTCACCTTTCTTCCTCAGTGCCTTGTTGGTCAAAGAGAGAGATTTCCTAAGCTACAAATGAGAGCATGGTACCAGCATGGTTTGGTACCTAGAGAGCACAGTCTGCATACACAGAAAACACCCTGTGAACATCAGCCAGAAACAATCAGTTGCACCAGAATGGCTGAAAGATACCTCAGAACCAAACGCCAATCCATCCCCACATCCACGAAAACTGTCAAAATTACACAGTTGGAAGTCTAATATTTTAAGAAATCTTTCTTCTTGTACCTATCTCAGCTTACAGTTTCCAATTAAAAAATTGCTTCTGGGCTTGATATCAAATGCTTAAAATTGCAGCCAGAAACATAAGCAACTCAAAATAACCCCCTTAGAATGGAAACTCGTACATCCTTCATACTGCTATGCCTGGAGTACTCTGCCAATAAGATGCCTAAAAAGAAGGAGAGAAACTCAGGGTGGGAGTGAAGGGAAGGGGAATTAGACAAAAAAGGAATGAAAGGGAATCCCACAGGGAGCCAGCAGAAAAGCTCCAGACATTCTGGCGGTTCTAAGAGTTTTTTCCAGGTGGCAAAATATACACTCGAGGGGGACTTTTGATGAAAAAGGACTGGGGACTTCAGGGCACGGGCCTTAGGAGACCTGCAGTAACTCTCTGAATCTCTGCTGTATTGTCTGCCATAGCATATGATTAGCTTCCTGTGCTGTAGTGCATTGTAAAGCACTTTATAAAGCAATGAATTACACAGCTGAAGTGGAGTAACCACATGCAAGCAAATACGACAACCATTATGCTCTCAGCAACATCCCCCCACACAGCCACGAACATTTGCATTAGTGCCAATTAATCTGAGGTGGTACAAACTCAGCGAGGCATAGGATTTGTTCTTTGGTGTGAAGGAGGAAGGGAGGGGAGAAAAATATCCTTTTGTCTTCAGAGAGGAAACATCTGTAGGTGTTTTCAAGGGCTTCGGTGACTTTGTTTAGCGTGGCGCGGGGGAGCGTGCTATTGAGTACTTTGATCTCACCAGCAGGTGACACTGCAGCAAGTGGGAGCAGCTATAAAAAGTCTGAAGCATTCTAGGGACAAGTCGCACAACCGGTGCGCAAATGTGTTTTACGTGTGACTCACAGTTGCCGAGAAGTGGGAACGTGCAGCACGGGCTGGTCTTTTGGTTTCAGCTTCTCCTTGTGTACTGATGTCTTCCTTTTCCCCTCGCCTCCCCCTGCCACTGCTTTCAAACACCGGGGTGAAGCACAGAGTCAGGAGGCGCACCAAGTCTTTTAACCTTGCTGCACATGGAAAAGCGTATGACTAAAGCAATGCCAGGGAAAACTGTTTAAACAGCCCTACCTCTCGCTGAAGTCAGCAGGAAAGACATATCCTCTAACGTCAATGCTTAATACCTAGAGGAGCCTACCAACCACTAAATGGGGGGTTGTGCTTTTCCAGCTCCACGTTTCAACCAGCCATTCCACACAACAAAATGATGATGGCGTTTGTGAAGCACAGGTTATCCTGTGATGTAATTTTTTAATCTCATGGTTAATACAAAAGAAAGCAGATGAAATACTTGAGAATTGATAACAGATATACCTCTCTTACCTCTCTGTTGTGGCTGGAACTACCAGGAGGACTGACCCTATGTAACCCTGGGCTCTGGGACCCATGTCACTTAGGGGCTCGGGAAGATCAATCTACTTCTACATGAAGATCCGGTACCACTAAAGAAAAATCTTCCTTCATCTTATGCACGAAAGTTCACAAGTCCTAATTTACCAAGCACGGCTTGCTCTGCAGATCCTGGTGAGGTCCATGGATACCCTATAATGTTAAAGGCCGAGTGAAGGGGCTCTTATTTTTTCAGTCAGTAGTCCCTCAGGTGCAAAGGGGATATAAGCAGAGCTGCCAAGTTTTGTTCAGCTCCTTGTGTGATATATTGATTTTGTAAATGGGTTAGTGAACTGATTTACCACTTTCTAGACAATTTGCATGAAGCCTTCAGTCGTGTTTCCCAGTCAAGACACCCTGCTCCAAACAACAGCAAGGGTTTGTTCCCAAATCCTTGCTGCTGCGCGTAGGGGAAGCCAAGAGTCCTTCTGAGAGAGTCTAAACTATATTTGCAAGAGATGATGGGAGGCTGCAGGGCACTGGCAGGCATAGGCAGGTAACCACATAGGGTTTAATGCCAGAAGCATTTGTAACAGCTTGCACTGTCAGTCCTGCCAATGCATGGCTGCTCTACTCCAGGTGTGTTTGGTACAGAGAGAGCGGGTGCCTGGTGCTGGTACCTGGCACAATGTGGCCAAAGTGAATACCTGTTACCTTACTGAAGCTCATGTGAATGTGTTAAAAAACAGTTGGAGCGTGTCAGACGATGACAGAGGTGCCAAAACCAAGGTGCTGGGCAAGAAGCATGGTCACAGGTAGTCCCAAATGGCTCCACAAAGGGTTCACAGAAACACAAGAATTCAAGGCTCAAAAAGTGTTTCTAAACTGCTTCTACACAAGCCAGTAAACCAAAGGATATGAATAGCACTTCCATAACATTTTACACATACGTCTAGAAATGTTTTGGGGTTTTTTACTATTACTTGAACTAGAATGCTGTAGAGCATCAAAAGGATGCTCTGTTTGGAGAGCCAGAAGCAGTTTTAAATCTAATCATTTAAACAGAATACATCTGCAGCACTACACCCCCTCCTGTGTCCACTGGAAGGGCCCATGATTTTACAATCACACGTTCCCATTGATTTAAAGAGTCATACAGACAAGGCAAAGTGACAAGGATGAAGAAACTCAAAGCTGACTTTGAATGAAAGCAAACACCTAGCATAAACCAGTTGAGAATCCACACTTTTTCACTGGTTTCTTTGACTGGGAAGCCTTGGAGACATTATTTGTGACAACCATAAGTAAAAAGCCACATGTTGCCTAAAGTGTGACTCTTTTACTGAAGATGTTCCCTCATTTACAACGAGATACAGTGATGGACTTCAGATTGTTCAGCTTCCACAGTGTAGATATACAATTTCTCATATGTACACTGAAGTGCACAGGTGAGGTTATATATGCCTGATACGTTACTTTATGTACATTAAACTATCAGCACTACAAAACTGCAGTGGAGATTATCTACCTTTCTAGTCCCAGAAAGAGAAAGAAAGGGGCAAGCAGCAAAAGGGCCAAGCAGTTTTTCTCTTCATCATTCCCACTTCCTACATGAAAGGCTCACTGACAGAATTTGCTCCTAAATTGTGGTTTTTTGGAACAACACTTTCTAGTCACATAAGCAACACTTTATTTTTCCAAGTGTAGTTATTTAGTTTCTTCACATTTGAATTTTCATGTCACTTCTCTTCTCTCTGTAGTTTTTGCTTTTTTAAACAGTGTGAACACATTCTGTAATTATTGCTGACAGCCCAATGTTTAATGGTGTTGAGTGTCTTTTATGGCACAGTCAGACGTTTGTTTGGGAGACAGCTGTCTCTGCTTAAAAAGTCGCTGCCCCTTAACTATTTATCGCTGCCCCCATGGCTCAGACGGGGCAACTGTCCGTACCTGCAAACAGTTGAAGCAAAGCCTGTTCCTCTCTGTGCTGCAACAGCCTGGAAGAGCCCACGGATTCAGTTACTGCACCTCAGCAGAGGGGAGCAGAAACAAATAGCTGATCAAGCAGAAACTTGTTAAACCACCACAGCTGTTTCTCAAGCAAACATCCAACCGTGCCCTCGGAGGCAGCGCGGCACACGCGGCGCTGGAAGGGAAGAGGCTCCCGAAGCCAGGAGATGCTGTGGGAACCGTCCCACATTCCTCCCCTGCCCCAGCTGAAAGCCAACCGCTGCGCTGTGACCGCGGCTGCTCTGCACACTCGCCCGCTCCGTCTCCGAGCCTCCTCCGGGCCTTCAGTCTTTTATCCCTGCAAGCCCCAGAAGTACCATCGCGTACTTAAAGCACGGCTGAACTTTTCCAGCCACTTTTATCTGCCGTTTTGCAGGAACGTGGTCGATATGGCATGCTTCCCAGCTCTTCTGATAGAAGACTGGCCCAGGCAAGCACAGCTTTAGATAGCCTGGGTGGGACTGATTACCTGGTACACAAGTCAGGCGGTGATTTGATTGGCACCAATCCCAAGTAATGTGAAGTAACACAAAACTCATCTATCACCATGTGGTACTTATCAGGGGAACCTTCATGAAGAAAACTTGCCTGACCTGATAATACAGTATTACCCCCAATAATTATGTGATTTAATGCAAGTGCCGATTACCCACCGGGGAAGGGGAGGGGGGAGGGCAATTCCAGCCATCTGTGTTTGCCTGAATGTTCCCATAAAAACGTTCCCAGCATATAGCATGCTCATAAGCAGTAGTCTTGGAAAAGGCATTGGGACTATTCTGTGGGGCAGTTCTGTGCCACCCTGTGTGCTGTCAGACTATACTGCTGACACTGCCAAATTGTTGTATCTTAAGATTCTTGAACTACACCAAAAGAGATGTGGAGTGTGCGAGAGACATAGTCCCTTCCTTTGCTGAACAGAAAAGACTAATCCCTTGCCATGCTCTTTTATATTGCAACAAAAGCAACTAATACATTTTTGTGTTATCTGTTCCCTTGCTCTGCACTTCAGTGAAGTTAGTTTAGAGCAATTAGTGACTTTCCTGCACTGTCTGAAAAAGTAGGCACTTTCTAGTCTTCTTTCAGCTTACTTACCAAAATTATTTTTTTAATTCATTCCTCCACTGTATCAGCACAGTTGAAGACGGGCCTAATACTTTCACCATTTGTAAGTCAGCATATGATTTTATACAATGCCCTAAGAAATGAAAGCATACCTGCTGACAGCATCCTATGCAACTGCTTTGCAGGATTTTCTTATCTCATTAAGTCCAAAAAGGACCACTGTGGGCATCTTACCCAGTCTCACCTACCAAACAGGTGTAGCTTAAGTGGAGCAAGTCTTGACCTAAACAGCTCTAATGACAGAGAATCCACCACATCCCTTAATATTAAAAAGGCATTTCTTCCACCCAACCTACAGGAGTGGAAAGGGTTCGGGAGCTATGTTTTCTACACGGGAAATGCTTCAAGCAAGATCGTCTTTCTTGTGTGTGATACAGCAGAGGAATACATCATTGCAACAGATTCTGCACTTGCCTCCACCTCCCATCACACTTGCCTCCACCCTTGATCCGGGAAGCATTAAATCCGAAAGTGTTACAGTGGGTTTCTTTGACTCAACACTGATAAAAGTTTCACAGTGAAGACAATATTCAGCTTTTAAGAAATTGCTCCTAAAATACAGAGATGTAAAATCATGCTAGTCTCTTCTCATCGGGCTTTGAATCATCCCAGAGGGTTGTGTGGTAGAGATGGCATTTTGCTTTTAAATCTGCAGGATTTTTCCATTAAGTTCTATATAAGTTTTTCATCAGTTTGCTATAGCTAGAACCAAACTACACAGCCTTTTCCCTTCCAATGCAGGAAATTAGTACTTTCATTTAATAAAATTGCCAGAAGAGATGCTAGGAAGTCCTCTTAAATATGATAAAATGCCCTAATAACATATACATTTATAACTGATGTTCCATTGTGAAAATTAACATTTGGAAACAAGATCATTTTAGAAATAAAATCCAGCAAGTAGAAATCTGCAACAAATCATCTTGAAAACCCTGGCACCATAAAGTTCTCAGAGCAGGGATCCCATGCTTCTGCCATAGAAATTCTGTAGGTAGCATGTGGTGTATGTTAGTACCACTCTCAGCTGTGCCTGGGCATTTAGGAGTATTATCACAATAAAAATCACCAGCAGCATCACAGACCTTTCTAAAAGCCATGGGTTTCACAAAGGAAAAGCTAAAAAGCTCCATGGGTATTCAGTTTATTCAGCAGAACAGCTGATAACTGATCCCACAGTCCTTTTTCAGGAGAGAATCTAATTCCTAAGGGGAATTCAAGTGAGGTCCATTAGCTCAAATGCTTTTCACCAAATAACCAGTAGCCCCAGAAGACTGGAGACAGATAAAAATGTTCCTTCCTAAAACTAGTTGCCAATTGGAGCCAGCTGAAAATTTTCAAATGGAATTTCTATGAGGGCTTAACATCAAAGGTATTTTTGTCTGAGTAGGACAGCAAAATCAGCTCTCTAACAAGGCAAAGAGGCATAGCAACTTTAAAAGTATTATTATTATCTTTGTCTAAAAACCTCAGTATGGTTCAAGCCATTCTGCTTCCACTGTATGGGACTGCATTTTCAGAAACTGTGTATTGCTGGACTTGGTGCCTGATC